CGCTGCAGCCTGAATGCGCCAGTGGGGATCCTCCGGAGAGGAAAAAAGGGCCAGGCACACGGGAGAAACGGGGGCAAGGCAGCTGGTGTGCCAAAGAGAAGCGACGGACCCATCTGCACGTACGAGGGCACAAGTGAGCAAACAGAGTACGGAAATCAGAGGTCAGGGGAAGAGGGGAAACCTGCTAAAAACACACACTGTGAGACGGGAGAAATCCTCAATAGCGACGGGGGAGCCGGGCAGACGCCGAGGCAGAGAGCAGGGTCATACCCAAAGAGAACGAGGTGGCTTGGAGCAGGAAGGGGAGGAGTCTTTCGATGCTTGGAGAGAAATGCAACATAAAGGAAATAGGGGAACAAACAATCTGCGGGGATTTCACCATCTTAGGCTAAACTGAAAGAAGGGGAGGAGGAAGGTTCTGCCCCCGAGCACAGCAGCAGGACAGATGTTCTGGGAGGAATCAAAAGGGACCTTCTGTGCAACGGGGGAAGGGGATGCGTTTGGCTGCACAACGTGGAGCAGGAGCTGGGGACAAGCAGAGATCAGGCGTGACCCCGAAATAGGTCTGGCAAGGGAGGAGTGATAACGGGGCGGTACGAGGAGCTGGGAGAAACAGCACATTTGGAGTACTCGAGTAAGAGCTGGTCCAAAGAGCAGGCACGACGGCCACAAGAGGAGAGCTGGGAGGACACAGCGACAGAGATCAACACTGTTTCATGGAGTCTTGGCCTCTATCCTCTATGGACGATGTGGGACACGTGCCAAAGACAGGCATTTCGCAGGGAACGAAGAAGAACAGAAGAGGAAAAGAATCCAGATATGAACTCAGAGAAGGAATAAAACAGGGGCCGAGCACCAGATGTGGGATCTAGCACAAACTAGCAGAGCAACAGCATCCTTAAGAAGGCAGACCAGGAAGTTTATTGGGAAATGTAGGGATGAGCAACCTCCCGAGGTAACACTGAACCAGAGAGAGCAACCGCAGCCTCCCTGGGTCAGAACACTGTTAGCCAAGTCGACACGAGGAAACGGAGCAAATCTCCCATCTACACTGGTGCAGCTGGAAGCGACTTTAAAGGGATGTAATTAAACTCGTAGGAAACCCTTGGAGAACACAACTAGGGCATGGCTTCACGTGCCTGCCTTCGAGTAGAAGATGATGTTGAAGAAACTGTTGAAGCCCTTCTCTCCCCTCACTCCTTCAGTCATGTCACTGAAGCCCTGCAGTGTCCCAGTAAACCTAACCAGGGAGTTGACCTCTGTTTAAAACCCTTTTTTCCTTTATTTTTTTCCTGGCTGGACTGGTTTTAACCCATACCAGCTCCTAGATCAGCTTCACCAAGAGGGAGAGAGGGCACAGCCTGGCACAGACTCTACTTAATCCACAACGTCTGCCAAAGGAAGTGTATATGAAACCACAGTCTTATTTTGATTTAGCTAAATAGGTGCTCAGCCAATTCTAATTAACGCCAAAGCAAACGAGTTTAGAATGAAGTAAGAACATCAACGCGGCATGCTGCGTGGAGAAGCTTGTGTGGTATTAAAGCACTTTCACCTCCCAAAACAGAACGTGCCCTAAGAACTGCGAGAGAACTGCGAGAACACCCTCACCTCCAACGACAAGCCCGCGGAGAGGTTTGCAATGAAATACAGTGAATTAAAAGAAAAGGGTGTTTTGTTAGTTAAGGTAAAACCTCATTGTTTTGCAAAAGGAGAGGATGCTACTCTGCAAACCTGCCTTTTCCAGGGTCCAGGAAAAGCAAAACAGAAGATGTTTTCCTTGCAGTGAAAGCTTGCTTTTACTCAGGTTAGCAATGACTTGGCTACACGTGGAAGTTCCCTTGGATTAAGTCAAGAAATTACTCTCTCTTCTGAAATACCACTGTATGGTAATGGAAACAAGTTTCCTGAGTTGAAGGTCTTCAGGAATGGATAATTTCTAATCATTATCTCTACACAAATCCTCCTTGCAGTAAAATCCCCACAGCGCCAAGACAACCATCGTTTCAGTGCAGGCCAACCCAGGGTTGCAGGATGGACTCCCCTGGCCTTCACCTACCAGCTCTCACCCCTGGTGAGAATTAAGCCCACGTCATCTCCGTTCTGACCCCTGTTAAACCCTGTCTGTTCCCTGGCTCTCAGGGATCCCAACTTGAGTTGCCCGAGGTGGGAGTTTCTAATTGTTTCCTGCTGCAACACTGGCCCTCACACTCACATCTCCCATCCCACTTTTAGGCTGTTGCAAAGGCGTTGCAAAGTAGATTCAAACGCCATCCCTCCCAGTGACAGAGATCCCTCGGCTGGTCCCTGATCTGACTAAATTCTCAGCTCCTCAAGCCCTTGCCTTGGCAAACATATAAAGCAACTTCTCAGGCTGGCACCAACCTGCCTGCCACAAGGGTTTGCTTGTCACTGAGGAGTTTGGTGCTGTTGGTGTTTGCCCTCACAGATGTCACAGCTACATTGCCACCTGGTCTAACTCACTTTGATCAGATTAACCAGAGCCATGACCTCCTACAGCATCCACCTTACAGTACCTGGGGTGGAGCCAGGCCCACCCATGCAGGAAGAGGGTTTTTCCCTGCTCCTCCCAGAGGCAGCCACTTCTCCATGTTGCAAACGCATCCCTGTGTAGGACTGTGCTGCCCTGACACCCCACAAGAAGCTTCCCATGTATTTTCCTGCTCTGTAAATTTCCAAGCACTAAAAGCACTTGGATGTCAAGCCGTTTACCCTTCCTCTCCCCCATCCCAGCCTCGGCACATGAGCTACACACCAAGCGATAGACATTATCCCTGCTGCACCCTGTCTAGGCAGATGTGAGGTGACAGGTACTGAAACACCAGCAGCCCATCTCCTAAAACCCCCCAGCACAAGGATTCCTGCCACCTGGCTCCAGGCAGGCACATCACCCTCGACGCAGGTGGGAGAGCACCAAGCAAAGACCCAACCAGCAGCAACGCGCACCACTGCCATAGCTCAGCCAACAGCACGAGTTCACCCAGGGAGAGCATCAGCTTTGCCTTTCCCGCTGCAAAAGTGGCAGCCACGGCATGAGCCAGATCTGGGGATACCGCTGCCATTTGCTCAGTGAAGCTCAGCTGCTCTGGAGCCTTTAGGGACAGAGTAAATGTTGCCCCATCGGTGGTGCCTCCACCCGCACTGGCATTGAGTGCGCCAACGGCGCAGAGGAAGAAAAGGGACTTCCCAGCCTTAGGGTATGGAACAGGAGAGAGGCCACCACATCCCTCTGCAGCAGGAGGGATGGGGACGGGGAGGACACTGTGGCTGCCCTCCCATGGCACCGTGTGGTTCCTGTGGCCAGGGGACACTGCGGAAGGCCGGGAGGGATGCACTTTGACCCTGGAAACACACCTGCGGGAAACACCTTTGAAACATTCATTCCCAGAGCAGCAAAGCCTTGAAGGAAGGGGTTTTTATCCCCTGGATGGCTACAAAATATAAAATGAGGTCAGCTGCTGGAAGCTCAAGTGGGATTCGGTGCTCGGAGCGCAGCCGGCCACTTTGATGGGAGTGGGAGCAGCGGAATGAGGCGGGATGTGCCCTGTGGCTCTTCCCGGCGCTCAGGTGGGCCAGAAGGGAACAGTCTGCAGTGTCTCCCTTCCCTTGCCATAGTTTGTTCACTTTGGCAATTCTTCGTTGCCATTAGTAACACAGGCAAGGAACTATATTTGTTTTGATATGCGATGGCCTGGTGTCCATTGAAGGTGCAGAGGGCCGGAGTGAGTGCCAATTCTGAGAGCTGCCCGGGGCACCTCAGCTCCAAGCACCGCTTTGGAAAACCCTCTGGAGCAAACTGCTGACAAAAAAATTAAAAATTGAAGAAAAAATTGAATCAAAAGCCCCACGACAGCCCTCTCACAGGACTCGCAGCGGGCACGATATTCAGCAAGGGAAAAATTTAAACTAGAAACTGAAAGAGAGAGAACAGTTTATCTTATGTTACCACTCACTCAAGGGTCAGAAACTGTAGGAGAACGGACCAGGAATGACTAGAGTGGCACAAAATCCAGCAAGGATGGACCAGGCCATCCCTGTGGCTGTCTGGGCAGAGCAGTGCCCAGCAACAGCGGCCCCGAGCCGGGTTTGGTCCCCGCTGCCTGCACAGCAGCCCCGGCCGCTGCGGAGCTGAGCCAGGCTTTGCCTACACGCATTTGCTTAAGCTGATTTAAAGACACAGTAACACCACACGTAATTATATATCCTCGGCACGATGAATTGGAAATATAAAAGAGAAAACCCATCCTCATTTCAGAAAAAAAATAAAAGTTTGCTGCACACTGGGCAGTGCTGTGATAATCGGTCCCAGCTGCTGGACGACTGGTGTCACTAAAGCCTCGCTCGCCCACAACAACCAGGCTTGTCCCCACCAAAGCCCACGAATTTTTAAGGGCTGAAAAAGAGCCATTAAGGGATGACAACGTTCAAAACCATCTCTGACAAGGTGCACATCGTCCAAAATCCCACAAGCAGAGCTTAGCCTCCTGAGCCCAGGAGCCAGGCTGGCATTCCAGAGCCCAGAGGTTCCAAGGGCAGCTCTGAAGGCCAAACCCCATCAGAGCCCGGGCTCTGACACTTGGAAGGCGCTTCCAGACTCAGGTGACAGCGACGGAGCCATTGCCCTCGATAGGCATCACGCCGCTTCCAGCCAGTGCCGGGACCAGGACCAGCTAAACCCAAGGGCTAACCAGGATGATGGAAGTGGCACAGAGGGAAGGGAAGGAAAGGAAGGGAAGGAAAGGAAGGGAAGGAAAGGCTGCTGTAAAAATGGCCAAAAAAAGGCAGAGGAGCTGCGAAGGGCACGGGATGCACCGGCCCTGCCCTGGCACTGATCCCCAGACTCCGGGGGACGAGGGTGCTGGGGAGCAGATGCTCTGAGAGGAGAAACTTGCTTCGTCTCTATTTTAGCCTGAAAGACCTTTTCCCAGTGCTGCTCTGAACCGGCCTCACCCAGGCTGGGATGAGGGCACCGATGTCGCTCACCGAGGAGCCAGGACTCCTCCCGGTACCGACCACACCGCCGCGGGAGGGCTGGTTTCCTCCCCGGTAAGAGCGGCAGGAAGCGCCGCCTCCTCCGCCCGGTCCTGCCGCTGCCCGGCCATCACCGTGGGCACGGGCGGGGGGACCGGCCGCCCCCGCCGCCCCGCCCCGGCCGCGGGGGGCGTCGGCGCGGAGCGGCACCGCCCCGGCCCCAGCCCCAGCCCGCCCCGAGGCCGGGACCGCGGGGGTTTCGCGGCCGAGGTCCCCGCCCGCGGCACGGCACGTCCCACTCCCGAGCCCCGCGAGGCCGCGGCACGGCCCACGGCCCCGCGGGGCGGGCACCCCCCCGCCCGGGACACGGCGTTCCCCGCGGCCGCTCCGGGGGCTTCGCCCCGCACCCCGCAGCCCTGCCCGGGGCAAGGCCCCGCGGCGCTGCCCCGCGGCGGCTCCCGCAGCCCCCGGCTCAACAGTTTGCCCCCGGGGCCGCTCCTCGGCGGAGCGTCCCGCAGCCCCGGCGGCCGCGGCCGGGTCCCCGCGCTGCCGCACCGGGGCAGCCCCGGACATGGAGGTGGCGGCGGCCGCGCTGCCCCCGGGGAGGGCTCTTCCGCCACCGCCCGGCGCCCGCCCGGCCGGCACCCGCGGCCGGACCGGCCCCGGGCACGGTGACGGCCGGGGCGGGCTCGGGCCACGCCGCCAAACTCCGCGAGCGCCCGGCGCCGCCGTCCCGCCGCCGCCCCGGGAGCGCCGCGCTCCGCGGCCGCCCCGCCCCGCCCCGGGACCCCCCGCACCGCCCCGGCAGCGGCAGGTGCCGCCGGTGCCGGAGACGCCGCGCCGGGCAGGGCAGCGGCACCGCCGCGCCGTCGCGGGGCGGGGAGCCGGAGCCGCCGCCGCCGCCCCTTCGCTGCCCCCCGCCCGGCGCTGTCAGTGCCCACCGCCCCGCCGCGCCCCCGCCGCTGTCCCGCCGCAGGACGCTGCCGTCCCCCCCCCAACCCCGCACCACCACCACCCCCCCCGCGCCTCCCCGCCACCGCCCCCGGGGGTGTCCCGGGACCGTTTCCATGGAGACCCCGGCCGGACGGCCGGGAGTGGAGGTCGGGTCGCCCGCTCCCCCCCGCCCCGCTTGCCCTCGCCGGCCGTGGGTGCGGGGCGGCGCGGGCCCGGGGTGCCCGGGCAGCGGGGGCCGGGGTCCGGCGCGGGGCGGCGCGGGGCGGCGGGCACGCACCTGCTTCCCGAGGCGGGCGGGCGGCGAGGGGCGGCGGGCCGGGGCGGGCCCCTGCCCCAGGCGGCGGGTCGGACCCCGGGCGCTGCGAGCGGCGGTTCGGCGGCGACGGCGGCGGCGGAGACACTGGCAGCGGCAGCCGGAGTGTGAGGGCGAGAGCGAGCCGCGGCCGCGCGGGCTGCCGGGAGCCGTAGTCCGTCCGCCGGGGCCGGGAGCCGCCGAGCCGCCCCGCGGACTGCGGGTCCCGGCGTGCCGCGCGCCCCGGCCCGCGCGGGGGGGCCGGTCCGGAGAGGGAACGGGCGGGCGCGGGGAGGGAGCGAGGGAGGGAGCGCGGGGAGGGAGGGAGGGGGCTCCGCGCCCGGCGCGGCCCCGGGAGGGGCGCGGGGGGGAGGCCGCCGCGCCCGGGGCTCGGCGCGGCACGGAGCGGAGCGGCTCGGTACGGGGGGGAGCCCCACGCACACACACGCCCCGCACACATATACACACACACACACACACACCCGCCCGACCCCGCGCCGGGGCACCGGCTCCCGCACCGGGGAGCGACGCTCGCTCCGCACCGGGGGGAGGAGGAGGATGGAGGAGGAGGAGGCGGCGGCGGGGGCGGGCGCTCGCTCCACGCCCGGGCAGCGTCGGGCGCCCGGCAGCGGGCAGAGCCGGACGGGCAGCGCGCGGCGAGCGCGGCGCACGCAGCCCCGGTGCCCGCAGTCCCGATGTCCCCAGCCTTAGAGCCCTCAGCCCCTGCACCGCCGCCCCGATGCCCTCAGCCTCGTGCCCGCCGCCCCGGTGCCCCCCGCCCGGTGCCCGCCGCCGGGCGCGGCCGCGGGGGGGGTGTGTGTCCCCGAACCGGTGGAGCGGGCGCGGATCCGCCTGTCCAGCCCAGATGGGCGCAGGGCCCCTGCTCCGGCGACGATGCCGCTGGGTGACCTCCCGGGCCCCGTACCCCCCCTGCCCGATGCCCCGCCGGGCGCGCAGCCCTGCGGGGCGGGGGCGGCCCCGGGCGGGGGTCGAGGCACCTCCCCCACGCCATGCGGGGCACCGAGCGGCACGGCACGGCACGGTGCAGCGGCCGCAAGTTTGTCACCGGCCCCCGCCCGCGGCACCGGGGCCCGCAGGCCCGGAGGCCGCCGCACCCCCCGCGGTGCCCCGCCGGGCCCGCCCCGCACCGTCCCGCACCGCCCCGGCGCTGACAGCCTCGCCTGGCCCGGGGCCGCGCCGCCCCCGGCCCCCGCACGGGCCTCGGAGACCGGCGGCCCCGCAGCGCCCTGGCGCGGCCCCGCCGTGCGGGCACCGGCTGCCCGGCCCGGCCCTGCCCGGCCACGCCGCCCCGGGCCGTGCCGGGCCCCGCGCAGCACCGCCCCGTGCCCGCTCCTTTCCCTCGGCCCCTCGCCCCGGCCCCGCCGCCCCCCTCCGCCCGGCCCCCGCGTACCGACAGCTGGGGGGGCCGCGGGGGTCCCCGTTCCTGCGCGACCCGGAGGGGAGAGCGGGATGCGCCCCCCCCGGCCCACGGCGCGGGGGCTGAGCGGGGACGGGCAGTACCGGCTGGTCCCGGGGCGGGGGACGCGGTGCCGCCACCGCCTCACCCGTCCCCGTGCGGTGACACCGCGCTCGGGCGTGGAGCGGCCCCGGGGGCGGACGATGGCCGGGGGCTGCCCGGGGCCGGGCCCCGCAGGGCCGCGGGGTGGGCTCGGAACGGGGCCGTGCTCCTTTCACCGCGGTCCCCGATCCCGCGTGGGCGCCGGGGGGCCTGGTGGGTGTCACCGTCCCTTGCCCGTGGCGTGCTGCTCGGACCCCCGTGCGCTCCACTGACGATCCCTGTGGGGTCCGTGCTGCCCTGACGTTTGCAGGACCTGTTTGCTCCCGCGGTTTGGCCCATGAGATGGTAAAAATCTCTTTTTGGCTCAGCATCTTTCATGGCCAGGGTCTCCAAGAGGTGGGCACGGGCACCAGGGTGTGGCCACCCGCAGCTGGCACATCTGATTGGCACCCACACCCTGGTGTCACCTGCCGGGAGCGTCCTCCGCAGCCTCAACCCCAAACCTTTCCAATGCCTAAGGAGAGGAAAAAACATCTTACACAGGGATCAAGCTACTATTTTTTGCCAGAAAGGTTGCAGCAGCCTGGGGCAGGAGGTGGCCTCTCACCCCTTCGGGGGTGTGGGTGCTTGGGGAGCAGTTTAGGGCAGGGGTCTGTGAGCAGGAGGGAGCTGAGTGTGCAGGGCATGAGACCTGAGAATAGCAGGTAGCATTCTACAGGGCGACAGGGTGAAACATGGGGCTGGCAGAACTGTGGGAAGGCAGAGAGCCAGGGCTATGCCGAGGAAGGCCATGAGGGAGGAAGCTCTTCCTGCAGAGGGGGGTTTACTCCACTTCTCCCCATTATATTGTACCTTCTCCTGCAGTTGGCTCCAGCCAGAGTGCAGAGGATATGCTCCAAGAGGTGTTTCAGGCTGGGTGATGGTCAGGAAGTGGGGCTGGCGCAGCCTGCAATGGGCACATGACCCCAGGTTCGTAAGGACCTGCCTTATTTGCATCCTGGTCCAATTAAAGACAGACAGTTTGAGTAACAGCCTCATCCTGCAGCTGCCTCACCCCACCCCTGCAGGAATTGCACCCAGGGATGCATGGTGCTGGCTGGAAGAGCTCTGCATCCCACTATTGTGTCCTCTGACACACCACTGCTTCTGCCCCATTTAATTAGGACCCTTGAAATCTTCAGGGTGGGATAATTTGCACCAAAAGACTTTAAAAGGTGGTGCTGAAAAATTCTATGTCTCTTTATGTTCTGGGGAAGTGGGAAAGTCTGGGGGATAGGGCGCTTCCTCCATCAGGGAGTGGAGTTAGACACCAGTCACAGACTAATTGCAAGAAAGGCCAACAGGAATGATCTGCCACAGCAAAAATATGATGAGGAACCCTCAAGGTAATTCTTCAAGGAAGTCAAGCTAGGCTACACACCCCATATGGAGGGAACTGGGGGCTCCTTTACCTCCTCTCCATCCTGGGGACATGTCTCACTAGACCCCCCAGCCGTGGGCAGCCCTGGCTGCTGCCTCACCTTGGCATTTCCCCCGCACCACCTGCCTGAGCAGCCAAACTCCACAGGTCCAAGGGCATCCATGTGCCCTCCAAGTGTCCAGGGCAGCCCCTGACCTGTGTGTCCCCTGCCTGCTGTGGTCCCCTGGGCCACCAGGGCCTGAGCTCTCAGCTCTGACCTGACCTGCAGCCGCTGTTGCTGCTGCTTTTGTCATTACTGCTCCATTTTGTGTCTCCTTTTTATTTATTTTGCCCCTTCCCTCTGTTTTTTGAGTAGGATCCTCATCACTCTCCCCTCTCTGAGCCAGAAACTGGAACAGGTTGGCTAACACACTCTGCTCCTGCCAGGCTGCACTGGGGAGACCCTATCCTTTGTGGGGACCATGTTGGTGCCATCCCCAAGCAGCTGGGCTGGCAGGCCAGGGGATGCAAAAGGGCATCTCCAGATCAGCCAGGATCACGGAGCCTTCTCCTCTGGCAGGGTGGTGGCAGCTGATGGTGGCAAGGGTGGCTTGCAGCTCCTGGTACCACGAGAAGAGGGTGGTGGTCATGCCTTGTGTGCTTGCTGCAATGTCACATCCATGTCACCACCCTGGACACCTCAGCTTCCACTGGGAAGGTGGGGTTGGGGCTCAGGAGTCAGGGGAGGGGTGTCCTGTTGGGATGAACAGAGTGTCCATTGCCAGAGGTCTCTCACTGGGTTTCTTAGGACTTCTCTGAAGGAGGATCCTCCGTGCTGCTCCCTGCGAAGTGGGCAGAGCTCAGCTGGGTTTGGTTGGTGCAGTGACACTGGCAAGAGGTGTCACCTCTAACTACAGCCTTTGTCCTCACATGTTTCTTGGGCCATCCCTGCTCAGACAACAAACACTGGCAGCACAGGTGACAGTGCAGCTAGAAGGTGACACTTTGTCAGAGAGGCTGCCTTCTCCTTCCTGCTGGCACCCAGGGCCAGGGAATGGTGGGCAGGGAGGCCACGGGTTCTGGTAGGGATGTGACAGGGCCAGGCTCCTGCCCGCTGTCCTGCTGTGCAGCCCCTCTTCTCCCTGCTCCCCAAGGGATCTGGGACTCAGGAGGGACATGGGATGGAGTCCCACCTCCTGCGTGAGAAACTGGATCTGTTATGAGCTCAGAAGTTGACATTTTGAACCCAGCCACTGGGGACAAAACAAGGCTACTCCTGCCTCGGGAAGGGGATTTCACAGATTGAGGTTTTAGGTGGCTTACCCTTGGACCACCCATGGGTGCCCCAGGGAGCTTGGGGCAGGTCTCTTTCTCCTTGCACACTCCGGGCCTCCTTGCTTGCTGGAGAACAGTGGAGAAATGAGGCATTGCCCCTGGTGAGCAGCATGGACAGGAGTCAGCAGGCACACGTTGCCTCTGCTGCCCTTCTCCTCCTCTGCATCCCAGGAGAAGCCCTGGGCTGGGAGGGCACCGCTGATGGATGAGAATGTTGGATAAGGCGGGAAGGAACTGTGTTGTGCCTCCGAGCCACTGGAAGAGCAGGCAGCCAGGGCAAGGGCAAAGTGATGGAGAGAAGGAGGATGCAGTGGGTGAGCCGAGCTTAGGGTGCCAGGGGAGCCCCAAAAAGCAGGCAAGGAGGCCTCCAGGGTTGACAGGGGTGAGAGGGGTGCCCGCAGTGAGCCCTGGCTCCACTCCAGCCCTTTTCCGCGCAGCAGGAGGCTCCGGAGAGCAGCTGGCTGCGGGCAGAACTGGGCCTGCCCCTGCTCCCAGGCTGCCACGCCAGATTCCTGCTCCTTTAGTATCCGTCCCCCAGCCCTGAGCCCCCCAGGTTCGGCCTCGTCAGCCGCCTGGGGCTCCTGATTGTAATGGCAGACAAAGAGCCGGGCTCTGACCGCAGCACTGCATCTGGCAGCCTGTGCCTGGGGACGCTGGAAGTGCTGCCGGCAGCCCCGGCACAGGGGCTGTGTGGGGGCCTGTGGCCCCCCAGGAGCTGGAGGCTGAAATGGCCAGCGATGCCCAAGCCTCAGGTATCACCCTCAGGCTCCTGGCTGCAGCCTCCCACCGCTGATCCCTGGGACTGAGAGCTGTCATGCTCCACAGAGGAATGTGGGAGGACCTGGTTGCTGCTGCTCTGCCAGCACAGAAGCCCCCGTGGGGGCTCCATGTGGCCCTGGTTCAGGGCAGGGCATTGGGCAAGTGAGGAAGGTCGGGTTGGGAGGGGAGGTTGTGCAGAGGGAATGCCGAGGGAGCTGTAGGAGGGAGGGGCGTGGGGGCTGAGCCAACGCTGCGTTTCCCACAGGCACCGAATGGGCACTGGTGTGTGTGTGTGTCCCAGCGTGTGTCCCAGCGGTGCTCCCGTGCTTCTCCCTCCTGTCTCTGCAGCGGGAGCTCCGGGTTTGCCAGAGATCCGCTGTGTGTGGAACGAAAGGTGCCACCTCTGCGGTAGTTGTGCTCAAACGAAGCTGCTATTGTAACACTGGCCAGGGCACACGTACACGCAGCTGCCTGCCAGGAGGACATCTGCCTCTGCTCACCCCCCGGCTTGGCCTCAATCCTGCCCGTTGGGGACTGTCATGTTCCCCCTGGGAGGTTTTTGGTGCTGTGGCTCTGCTGGAGCTCGGCCAGGTGCCCCCCAGCTCCCAGATGCTGCTGGTTTGTGGCCGGGGTACCTGTTCTCCCCAGGTGTAGGGGTCCAGCACGGTGTCTGCTCCCCACCTGGTGTCCCTGACATCCCATCCTGGCCCCCACGTGCCACTGGGGGAGCTGCAATGTGACAGCTGGGACAAAGTCATCAGGGGGACACGGGGATTTACCCCTCTCCTCCCCAGGCTGGGGACAGGCAGGGACCCGCCACCTCCAGGAGACCCTGAATATGACAGCACAGCCCGAGTGAGCGGGTCCCCACTCGTGAGGGGGACAAGGCTGGTGGCCGGCTCCAGCTTCAGGACGTTCGGAGCCGCAGCTGCCGGTGTCCCAGCGCTGTCACCGAACCGATGTGAGGAGCAGTGGGTGACACCACAGGCACCCCGGAGCCACCGAGGGGCCCGGCCACCCGCGTTCCCGGGAATGGCTCCACTGCGGGGCGAGGGTCCCGGCTACAGCATCTCGGCGGAATCTCCGGCTCAGGTTGTGCCGTGTTGGATACGGCATCTCCATGGAAACCCCCGGCTCGGGCGGTGCGGGCTCGGGAGATGCCATCTCCACGGAAACCGCTGCGGCGCCCGGATGCGGCCGGGATGCGCCGGGCACTGGTACCGCGGAGGGGGAGATGGGGTGTCGGGGAGCCCTTGATGCGGGGCGATGGAGGCTGAGAGGCCTGGGGAGAAGGGACCACCCCGTCCCCTGGGCGGGACAGGAGGGACAGGGAAGTTGAGGGGAGCACTCCTGTGCCTGAAATTCCAAGCCCAAACCTTCCTCCCCTGCCCTCTTCGTCCTGCACTGTGCCAGGCTGAGCCTCCCACCTCCGTCCGGCCTGGGGGGGCTCAACCCCTCTCCCACCCCGGGGAGTGGAACTCAGGCCCGTTCTGGGGAGGACTGTTTCCAACCCATGGGGGCTAAGGGTGTTCAGGGAGATGGAAACCCCCTGACCCCAGGGAGCAAAGGCACAGGGCCCCGAAGATCCTGGGGTGCTCTATGACAGCCCCAGTGCTTGCACTCACATCCCGAGCTTGGGAAGCCAGAGGGACAAGATTTCAGCTGCAGAAACAGCCCAGATGAAATATTTTACAGGTTATTTATAGCCTGCATTAAAAAAAATAACAAAAAAAGAAACAAAAAACCCTCAATCCCAAAAAGAAACAGCGACCAAAAAGCTTTTTTTTGTTGATTTTAAATCTGCCTTTTACTCCATCCCGCTCCCACTGGCCTCTCAGGATGGCGGGTGCAGGAGCGTGGCTGCACCGGCAGCTCCACTGCGCTGGAGCAGCCCTTGGGCTCGGGCTCCGGCTCTCCCGGTGGGTCCCTGTCCCGGGGGACCCCGCGGTGGCTGTGCCGCTGCCTCGGCACGTCCCCAGCCCCACAGCAGCCCCGGTGCCCAGCGCCCCGCGTGTGCCAGCCGGGCTGGGCTGCCCAGGGCCGGGATTAGCCCCCGCTCCCCGCTGGCACCGGGAGCTGCTCGGCCGCCCTCGCCGCGGCTCCCGGCTCCGTAAGCCCGGCTTTGACGTAGCCCGGAAAGTAGGCCAGTAAGAGCAACCGCAGCCGCTCGCAGCTCTCGGGGGACGCGGCGCTGGGGCGGCCGAGGGAAGGCTGCGTGTTCGCGCCGCTGCTCCGGGGCTCCCGCGGCCGAGGTGGCGGCCGGCGACAACAGGGGTTTTTGTCCAGGTTCTCCCCGACTCGCACCTCGTCCGGCAGCCAGAGGCCGGCCCTGCTGCCGCGGGAAGGGCGAGGATTAGGCGGGGGAAGTCCCTGCAGGGAGCCGTCCCCAGCCCGCAGCCGTGCCGGGGCTCTGGGGGCTCCCCGGCTCGTTTCTGTCCCCTCTGCAAAGGGCTCTCCCAGCCAAAGCTCCTGTCCCCACCTTCCCCGCCGTCTGGCATCCCCCTTTCCTGCAGCAGACCTGGAATTGGCTATTAACTAAGAAACCCCATGCTCCTGTGCCCAGCAAACCCATTTCTGCAGGGAAGTCAGAGGGACAACCGTTGCCTCGATGTGGGAGCTCTGGATGAGCCTGTGCCAGAGTGGGGGGCCGGCCCAGCCGCCTGGAGGGGCCAGAAGGTCAGCACCAGAGGCCCCCAGGCACCAGAATCCCTCCTCCAACTCATCCCAGCAGCTCATGCTGATGCTTTCCCTGTTTATTTTTGAAGCATCTCTGGATACTGAAAGCCCCGGTTCTAGCCCAGTCCAAGCCCAGTGCTGCTGTTCCTTGCAGGATGAGGCAGATCCAGCAGTCTGGCTACAGCTGTTCCCTCCCACGCTGAGCATCACCCACACTCAGGCTGCTGGACACAGCAGCTATGTGCGAGGCAGCCTCAGTATGGGGATCTGCACCTTGGTAGGTTCCCTCCCTGCTCCGGGTGATCCAGCAGCAAACCCACCTGCTCCACCAAGGCCTGAGCTGGTGTCACACCTGGTGGCCCTGGTCCTCTGCAGGACCTGCAGCCCAGGAGGGGACTGCCCTGTGCCATCATCATCCTGGCCCTGAGGGGAGCATCACATCGAAGCCAGGGAGGTCCCAGTTCAGGCTGGGGCAGGGTCAGACCCCGCAGGGCTCTTCCCCCTCCTCGGGGCCGCAGATGGCACCATGCACAGCAGCAGCAGCAGACCATCCTTTGCCACGGGGTGGGCCAAATTTGGGGATGGAAGAGGTGTCGGGGGGTACCCCCTCCCTGCAGAGAGGCAAACAGCAGGACAGTGCTCTGCAGCACCTGCTGAGCCTGAACCAGCACTGCTCTGACAGGCATCAAGCCCCCCAGGACCCTTCCCAGCCAGGGTATTCTAAGCATCCCGGGGCTAGAGCTGGGGAGGTGGGCTGGGTACCCGGGCAGCCCGTAGTGCCCAGCTGAGCACTGTCCCGGGGCTGGGGAGGAGGAAAGCAGAGCCCTGGGCCAGGGCAGGCGACGGAGGGCCCCTGCAAGAGGGACAGGGACAGTGGTAAGGCAGGGATCTCCTTGCCTCAGTCCCCGGGGTCTGCAGGGGGCCCGGAGAGGGCTGTGGGCAGGTGGAGGGGCTGGCGGGGGGCTGTGCCTGCCCCACGTCAGCCCTGCCTCCCGCTGCTCAGGGCGTTTCACCTTTTACTAAAACAAACACGACACCCCCCCGCCCCCCCGCGACATCCCCGGGGGCGAAGGTTTCCCATGGCAGAGGGACGCCGGCTCCGAGCTGGGGCCACCAGCTCCGCGAGGGGCTCTCGGCGTCACGGCACGGAAATGCTCTTCGCTTCCTTTCCTTTTTTTTTTTTTTTTTTTTTTTTTTTTTTTTTTTTTTCCCAAGCAACACGACCGCGGCCCCATCGCAGGCCAGGGCTCTGACCCGCCCCGGGTGCTGCGGGGGCCGGAGACACCCGGGCAAGGTCGCCGGCGAAGCCGTGGCACAGCCAGCCCCCAGCCCCACGTCAGCCCTCACTCCCCTCCCAGCCCAGGAAGGGCCGGCATCCGGAGCCCTACGGGTTTTCGGGTGGGAATTGTGGAGTCACACGGTGCCCATCGCCAGCTGGAGGGGTGCCTGTGCCCCAGCCCCACAGGACGACCCCCACTTTCCCGGTCTGACCCTGCTGCAGGGCAGAAGGGCAGCCCCGGGGCGCGGGGCGGGCTGCGGTGCCAAGGTGGGAGGAGGCGTCCCTGGCACGAGGGACATGTTTCCTGGGATCAGCAGCAGCTCCAGCTCCAGCGCTGGGATTGGGAGTGTTTCTACAACTGGCGCGAGCACAGCCCACGTGGGAAGTGGGGGGAGAGGCCTGGAGGGATCCCTGCGCAGTCCATCAGGCTCTGGCACATCCCTCTGCCTGTGCTGGATGCACCAAGCAAGCACTGAGCACCTCCCTGCCACACTCCCAGGAGTGGCTGGGCAGGGAGCACGGGCTCAGTGGCAGCAAGAGGCAGAGGAGGGCAGCAAGAGGGTCACGGGCTGCCTGGGGGACAGCCAGCTCCCAGCACATGCAGAGTACCAGCACCACCTCACTGAGTCGTTTCCAGGTGACCATGTTTATTAACGCTGGGCAGGTACCTCGGGGGTGCAGGTAGACCTAAGAAACCCCCTCAGGGCCAAGCTCAGCATGGCAGGGTAGGGAGAAAACCCCTTTGGCCAACATTTAAAAATATAGAGAGGTAAAAAAAACAGGGATATGAAACACAAAAGCACAGGGCAGCATGTGGGCAGCTGCTCCAGTCCCTCACCACACTCCCAGACCTGCTCTGTCATGAGCCCTTCACCAGCCTCTCACCCTCCACTCAGCCAAAGCACCTGGCCCCACATGGGCCCCCAGGGCAGCATGGAGGGCACTGGCCATCCCAGCCTTGGATGCTGCCAGGGCGGCCACACAGATGCAGCCTCAGGTTTCATTGCAGGGAGAGAGGCAGGAGGAACTGGACAGAACCAGGAGCTTCTCCTGGTACCTGCGCCTGCCCCAGTCCAAGCCCCTGGGCCGCAGGCACGGAGTTACTGCGCTTTGCGGCGTGGGCGGCGCCGGGACGGTGCCCGCCCCCGGGGCCGTGCCTCTCCCTCGGGGCCGGCCTTGCTGCCAGGGGCCGTGTTCGGGACATCCTCGGCCGAGATGGGTTGGATGATGTGGCCGGCGCGGGTGACAACGCGAGGGGCTGTCAGCTTCTGGAAGGCACGCTGTGTGTTCCACGTGGAGCCCACGGGCGTCCGTATGCTCTGCTCAAACTGCTGGTGCCGCTCGAAAGGGAAGGGCAGCTCGCTGACCTGAGGGGACAGCACAGGGGTAATGCACCCAGGCCACATAGCCTGGCCCTACCATCTCATGCTGCTCCCAGTTCCCACTGGTTCCCACTTGTCCAGGACCTGCTCACGCCCTGCTTCTGTCCCCGCTGCCATGAGAGCCCAGGAGGGCTCGAGCGGCCACCACCACCACCACCGAAGCAGCCTTGTACATCCCTTCTCCATCACCCCACTGGGCTGTTGAAGCAGGAAGCAGGGACAACAGGCAGGAATGGAGGACGTTTTGGGAAGGGGTCACTGGAGCTCTAACGGTGACCAGGTGTGACACACCTGATGTGCTGCCGCGTGGATGTTGCGCTTCTCGCTGATGATGACGTGGGGCTTGTGCTGGTCCTTCCGGGGAGGCCCCGGCGGTGGCTTGAGCAGGAACCTGCACGCAAACGAGGGGGCTCAGGGCCGGTGCTGGGCTGGGCATGTCCCTGAGCTCTCCCCCACTCACCTCTTGACCTTCCTGGCGCTGGGCCGGAGCCCGGTGCCGCCCCACTCGCCCCAGCCCGGCAGCACCAGGTTCACCGGCTGCGGCTTTGCCGCCTCCTCAGCCTTGTGCTTCTCCCGGCAGAAATCGGCGACCACGTCGTCTCCGGCAAAGGCCTCCGTGATCATCCCGCGCTGGTCGATGCCACCCTCCTGCAGAGGGATGAGGCAGAGCGGGTTTAGGGGTTACTGTGGGAATTGGGAAGGACCGGGAAGGGTCTGGGACCAACTGGGAGGCGTGGGGAGAGACTGGGAGAGGGTTTGGGAGGTGCCGGGGGCAGTGGGAACTGGGGGAAAAGTTACTGGGCATTGCTGGGTGGGGGTTTGGGGTTGTTGTAAGGGGATTTAGGAATACTGGGAGTTACTAGTTTGGGGCTTATGGTTACTGGGAGGTGGTTTAAGGTTACTGGTCCGGGGTTACTGTGAGTTACTGAAAGGAGTTTTGGGGCTTGTTTAGGGTTACTGGGAAAGGGTTTGGGGTTACTGGGAGTTAGTGGTTTGGGGTCTAGTGTTACCGGTTTGGGGTGTGGCATTACTGGTTAGTGTTTTGGGTACTGAGGAGCATGGGAGAGGCCCGTCATGCTCACCTCTTCCTCCAGGACCACAGGCAGGCTAGGGCAGTCCATCTCCTGGGGCTTCCCATCCAGCACAGCCTCCAGGCTGATCATCTTCTTCTTGTCTGTTGTTTTCTTGGCATGTCTGTCTCCATCCCTTCTTTCCTCCCGCTGCTGCACTCGCTTCCCTGCTCTCGGGGCCACTGGCTTCTCCTGCTCTTCCACAGGCTCCTCCTTGGCCAGACCCTCCACATCCTCCATGGTCTGCACACGGTGCAGCTGCTCTGAGAGCAGGAGCTGCTCCTGGGCTTGAGGAGGTGGCTCCAGCCCCATGCTCACTGGCTCCTCAACACAGACTGGGGGTATGGGGCTGTCGCCTGGCCGCTCAGCACTGGCCTCAGTCTCACCAGAACCTACACATTGAGGGGGTAAATGGTCACTCTGAGCAGGGCGGGAGAGTAGGCGCAGCTCTGTGAAAGCAGCCAAAAACTGTCCCCAAGCCCCCCTTCCTTTACCCAGCCCTGCAGCATTCCTAGCCCACCCTGCTCAGGGTCTTGTGCTCCTCACCATGCTCCTCACTGTGCTGCTCAGGGCTCCCTGCCTGCTCCTGCCGCGCCTGCCGCTTCTGCTCAAAGTCTTGTAGCAGAGCTTCCTCCTCTGACAGCTCCTCCTCTTCCTCCTCCTCCATCTCCTCCTTGGTCTCTGCAGGACCAGGCACTGGGCTGTCTCTGGGACCCTCCTGTGCCTCAGGCTCCGGGGCCAGGGCGCTGGGCTTGCCCAGCATCCAGGGATTAGCCGCGCTGGCCCCGGTGGGGATGGGCACGGCCGCAGGGTCCTCCTCAGGCATGTCGCTCGGCTCCTCCTCGGGCGGCTCCACCCGCACCTTCTGCATCAGCTCCTTGTTCCTGGCCAGCTGCTCCTGCATGGCCTTGCGGGCCTGGGAGACACCAAAAGCTCTATCACAGGGCACAGAACTCATTCCCACCTTCCCTGTCTATCTCGGCTTCTCCCACTTCCCCAGTCAGCACTGGGGACCTTGTCATGGCCTTTCAATGTATAAAGGAGCTTATAAGAGATAGATTTTATATCACATCCTGAAGGGACAGGGGACA